AGTGTCATTTTATAGATTTTTTTTTTCCTACTTGTCATGGACTGGCAAATTCAAATCTCACATACAATCTGCTATATTCTAAGGCCCCATTCACACCTGTGTGTTCCGCGAACGCGTGCCAAAGAGCGCATTTTTATGCAAGTTTGGCACGTGTTTACTGGAACGCAGCAAAATGCACAACTCGCTTGAAATGCCATTAATTTCTAATGGCACTCCAAATATGGCCAGCAAGATGTGCACAAACACGGAAGCGAAAAAATATTGAACGCGTGTTGTGTAAAATACTACATGAGCTTTTTTGCCACATATATGAACCTATTGAAATCAAAAACTGAAATCAATGAGGACAGAAATGCGCATGGACATGATGTGCATTCCCACCACGCGCAGGTGTGAACCGGGTCTTATGGTGTGGCAACTAAGTGGTTTCCACACGTTTCTGAGGTTCCCTAATCTTTCCCATTGCACACACATCAGACATACAGATCTCTGTCTGAGATCTGTCAGGGGTACATCCATGTGATGCAATCTCTCACAGATTTTCAGTGACTGGAGACTGAGTATAAGAGTATCACTGTCTTGTGCAACACACAATCATAAAACCTTTACAAAAGTATGAACTTTTATCTTTTATATAGATTGCGAAGATAAAAATACACACATCTGTCTCAGGTTAGGTGAGTCTTCTTAAATCCAACTGTGCTAATTGGCAGGCAGTTACGTAGTCTGAAGTTTCCAATGGGAACACACAGGATCTAATAACCTCCTACTTTGAGGATACACAAATTAAAAATTCACAAACAAAATATTCTGGGCAAAATTAAGGGTCTCAGAATAGCAGCCCATGTGACATAGTTTGGAGCCGACTGGGTTTGGGCCTAGTGATTGGCCACTAAAGCCCTAGCTTTTCCTCCTGAATCACATGCTACCCCATACCCTGAAGCAGCACCAGGTATTTCCCAAGTGCTCTAATGGAATGCTGGAGTGTCATAAAGGTGAGTATCTGCGGGTGTGTGTGTGCGGGGAGGGGGGGTAGGGTGGTATGGGTGGAGGGGGTTTTCTTTTAAGAGAACCTGTAATTTTGATCTGAATAGGCAAAGTGACAGATTGTCTTTGAATGTACAATAAATAGTACTTTAAACAGTATTTGTACTACCCTCCTGTAATTTCCTGCTCATCAACAATGGCAAGAAGGGCGGCGCTGTAAGCCAATCATACTTTACTGCATATTGCATTTCATGGGGCTATGAATCTAATAAATTACATTTGGTGACTGGTGGAGAGAGAACAGAAAAGGATTTAATACATGAGCACCTTTTCCTTCACAGTTCATCCACAGCCTTGTCCAAGCTGTAGTGAAGAAAAGTAAATGGACAGGAATGAATATAGTGTCTGGCAAGGGGTGTCTGGATTAGAAAGCTGTGTATTTTTATCTGTCTGGGAGAGGGGCTCCAAAATTTAGATTGTTTAGTAGGTCGGAAGCATCACAGCTAATGCTCCAAGCTCACTCCCGTGATGGACTACAATCTCATGTTTAGTTAGCTAATTTGTATTGAAGTTATTGTCCATCACAGGAGTGAGCTCAGTGCTGATACTATCCTTCCTTCTGGATGGTGGCCACTTTTGTTCCCCATGGTCCCCGTGTGTGTTGTAAAGTAGTCACCGCCCCAAGCTCACTCCTGTGATGGACTACAATCTCAATACAAATTAGTAAACTAAACGTGAGATTTTAGTCTATCACAGGAGGGAGCTTGGGGCGGTGACTACTTTACAACACACACAGGGATCATGGAGAACAAAAGTAGCCACCCTCCAGAAGGAAGGACAGTGTCAGCACCAATTCAGAGATGATTTGAGGATCTACAGCTGAGTGATACACAAATAACATACATTTTTGTTAATAGTTAAGGTACCTGAATGTATTTTTAGGATTTCACTCCTGAGCTAGTGTCACTTTAAGTAAATTCAACTTTCAGCAATATAAATGCTGTTTGCCAACCATTCTCCAGCTTCACTTCTTAGGAAGCAACTAGTCTTGAAAATGCATGAAGGTTTTGAAGTCAGATCTCCCCACTTGTTCCACATCAGTGAGTAGTGAGGCTGTAGGATCAATATGACAACTACGTAGCTAGATTTTTCAGAAGTGGGTCAAGAATGTTGGCAAAAGTACTTTTCTCATGACAGGTTTCTCTTAAACTTCAGCAAAGAGACTGAATGAGCTCACATTTAAAGCAAGTAAAATACAAGCTGGACTCTTGACCATGTATTATATAAACCTACTAATGAGTTTTGTCTTGCCCGCAAGAACCTGAGTCTTTAGAGCAGGAAGAAGACAGCACAACAGCTGGAGGCCACAGAGGTTAGACTTGGAATCTGACAATCTTTTTGACAAACATGTTGAAAGATTTCTTTTTTTTTTTTACTAAGCACATAAAATATGTATACATAAAAATTCTACAGCTTACTGAAACAAACTAGGTTTTTGTATGCTGTTGTTCTCTCTTCAGAATCCAAGCTACTAATGAGAATCTGATGACATATGCCACTGCAATAGACAAGATAATAGACTTAGCTCTTTACTCTGCTGGTCCAGTCCGCTCATGACAAGCTAATCGTGAGCGGAGCTGGGGGACTTGTTAAGAAAATCTCCTGCTATATTGCAGCACTACTTACCCTGCGCCAATTTTGTAAGACTAATGAGCTTCTTGCAGTTCCCCGGAGGCTTGTGCACACCTAAGAGGGGGACTGCAGTCTGAATATTCAATAAATACATTTTCAGTATATGTACTTAATAAATAAAATAAACAAAATCGATCTGCGCCAGTGATGACACAAAATAAGTGCAAAAAAGTTGCTAGGCACTAAAAGTATAACTCATATAATACATAAAAATGTAAACAATAACGTGCCAAGCTAAGGTGCCCATACACCTGCCGATTATCGTACGATAATCGCAAGAAATGACGCAATCACGCGATTGTCGGCGGGTTTGTGGTCTGCTCGTAAGACAAATGCCGCACGGGCCGGTGTGCGCAAGCGCACACTGCCCGTTCAGCATTGCAGTCATCGGAAGCCCCCTCAGCGGGACAGGCTTGCGATCATCGCGAGTACGATCTGCTTGTTCAAGATGGGCAGAGCGTAAGTTTTTTTAATTACCTTACAACCATCGCAAGACAAAAGATTGCTGCTGTCAATCAGTAGTGGTGGACCTGAAGGAGAACTGCAGCAGAGGGCGGGTGCAATGCTAGTTTGCTATTGCAAATTGAAATAGCCAATAGGAATCTAGCAATGCATTCCTATGGCCAAAAATTATTTTTTTTTCTATTCTGACACGGCTCTGTGTCAGAATAAAGAAAAAAAGAGAAAAAGCAGTGTTTCTCTCCTTGGCAGCCAGGAGCGGGAGACTCCCGGAGCGAAGAGATCAGCCTATTTGCCTTTAGTAAATCTGCCCCAATGAGTCTGCGGAGGGCAGCACTGGAGAGGAGGTGAGTATTGCAGGAAGGCCTGCTCTTTTTATCCTTCATAGTGATGGGCAATAGATTAGAAAAAAACCCTGGAAAAGGGATTTATTGTTCCTAATGTAGAACTGAAAACTGGCATTTGGAACCTGAGCGGTTGCTATAAGCATCCCAGACACCTTTATATTAGACACTTTAAAAGCCCTACTATAAGGATTTATCTTTTAATAAAGTCTCATTTAGACTGTGTTCCCAAAATAGCAGTGTTTTCTTTCTAGCAGAGTACATAAATTAGAGGCAGGTGATCCGTATTTCTGAGCGGTGATAATGCACCACAGGCAATGGATAATATAATAATTTTAACCTACTTTCAATCTGGCTAAGTATATTATTGTACAGTGTGCAGGAAATCCATTGAATTGATGTCTATTTCACAGCAAACAATGCAGCAGAAAATTGTCACGGGGCCTGTTCATTTCACAGTCTTCTCTTCCTGGAATGTCAATGCGCACAGAAGACTTGTCACCGCTGTATTATACACACTCCGGTTTAAAATTAATTACTCCATAAACACAAAAGGAATAACCCATGCTGTGTATTAGAATAATAAAGAAACACAAAGCAAAGGGTGGATAAAGCATGCAATTCTACAATAAGTTATAAAAGAGCTTTTAAAATACGTGATCTGAAGGGGTCACAAAAACATTATAATTATCAGCTCATCTTCCTACTGTTGCCATCTGTCCTGGTTTTCCAGGGACTGGGGCCAGGGGTATCCTCAGGGTTTGCTGAAGATGCATGTTTGGGGGGCCATGCTGGTGTTACGGTGTGCTGGTGGTACTCCGGTCCTGGCCGGCAACTAGCCCAGCTCACTGATGTCACTGGCTGCCGGAAGCTGGGTGGAATGCCAGGATACTAATAGCTGGGCGAGGAGATGTATATAGCCCTTACACATCTCTCTGCCCAGCTCCTAGCAACCTGGGGGCAGCAGGCACACTGCAAACAATGTGCAGCAGAGCGGCCATGCCACTCAGCCTGCCATCCTCACGTGACCCAAAGAGATGCCATCTGAGGCAACAGCCTCATTGTAGGGAGGGCCCTGACTGGGACCTCCCTGAACTAATAGAAATCTGCAGGCTGACATTGCCAAACTTCCAACAAAATACTAGTTGTCTGACTATCCTTAGTTTAAATATTTTACCTGGCGAGGAACAAGTATGCAGTAGGTCAGGGGCAGGCAAACTCCGGCCCTCCAGCTGTGGTGCAGCTACATATCCCATTATGAATTGCAAGACTCTGACAGTGACAGGCATGACTTCCAGAGTCATAGGCATGATAGGT